TCACTCATCAATTAATGTCAGAATCTTTCCACTAACCCTAAATGCAGCTTGCTCAGTTGCTGGTAATTTTTCAAAGTGTGAATTCTCTCTGATCCTACCTTAAGCCCTGTATCTGTCTCTACACTGTCAGGATTCTAAATGCTAATTTGTTCTGAAGTTAAGTGCTGCTCAATGGTGCTTAGCAGGCCAAAACAAACACTGAGTGATATGTCTGAGTTTGCCCAGACGAAAAATGAGGAGAGAAGTTCAGTGAAAGTGAGAGTTAAGTGGGGGTGGGTTGGCTAAGGCTGGGAATCTGCTTATTTTAACCTCTGAATGTGTTTCCAACTTGTTCTCACTTTGATGCAAAACATCTCAAAGGGTAAATTAGGATGAAATTCTCTGAATGCCGCCCCACAATGTTTTTGGAGAAAAGGAACATGTGCAACCCAAATACTGGAACAGCAGTGATAAGGAGGGGAAGGCTTCACTGTTTCTAGAGGTTATGGCATGAACTTGGGAACCCTCAAAGAAACACACACACATGCACACACTGTGTATATATGTCAGATATCAGTGAGTCTTTCCACAGTTTAACATACTTCAGAGCTGATTAGTGAGCCATCACGATCCTTCCGTCAAGGACTTCTCAAGGAATGCTGTCCAGAATTCCCCCGAAACCGTTTCCCGCCTTTAATGATACTGAGGACAGAGTGATGTCATGCACTGGTCCATGGTGTACTAGGTACGGAGGCACTCACCCCTGCAGTGTTCAGAATCACATCTCTAAGTGTGTGTGTCTTTGTACTGTGTGTATGTGAGTGCACTAGTGCGATCTGCCAAGGTAAAGAATGGCTTAGAGCCCATGTTTTTTAATGAAGCCAGCGAGGAGTCTGGTGGGTGGACAGGATGTGTTAAAAAGCCAACCATTTGGAGTTCCCCTGAATGAAACATCTTCATTATCCACAAAAGGCAAGAGAAATGACGGGAGACGTGCACTGCAGCATAACTATTGTTGATGTTTTATCATTTCCGGCTTTTCCAAAGATTACTTTAAAAAGCTTCCTTGAAGTTTTACCAACCAAATAAAGAGTGACAATGTAGTATTTTACTTCAAAATGTAAACTGCTAATGACCACAATGTATGTCTCACTCAGTGATAACCTGTACCAAATGGCATCCCAGCTGGAGTGTGTAACATGGAACCAAATGAACACCCTCGCATCTTCCATGAAGAGGTGAACTTCTTTATTTTTATACATAATGCAGTATCCTCGACTCTTGAACAGCATTTGTGGTGGTGCAGGGGAGGAGGAAGAGGAGGGTTTGACCAGATGGCTGCTGGCCTACTGCCTAGAGATATCAGGATGTGAAGAAAAGCATATCAACGTGCCTGTGTTTGTGTCCAATCTTCTACTTCCACTGTTTGCTTCAAAGACTGATTTGAGTTTTTGCAAACTGAGGACACTTAGGACTTCACTTCTTAAAGGACTTAGTTTTAGAGTTAAAGCCCTTAAAAACTTGACTTAAAATCTAATGTACTTGTTTTAACGTTAAATATTCATAATAATAACCAACAATCAAAGGCAAAGTACCATTCTTAAGTATTTTTGTAATGTTTAATACTTCAAAATTTAGCTAATCTGCTTAATTGCGGCAGTGTGTGTGTGTGTGTGTGTGTGTGTGTGTGTGTGTGTGTGGTTTGATGAAATTTGATGGCACCGTTTCCTCCCTGAGTCCTGCCCACTTCAAACCAGTTAGAAATGCACCAACAAGGACGCAAATATAAACTCACACTAAATAGCCAAAGCTGTTCCAGTTTTGGCTAAAAATAATCCATTCACTGAGGATGCCATTACTTGAACTAAGAAGGTGTTAGGCCTTTAAGGTTATGATAAAGTTATCCATGTAGTTGTGATATTTAAGAAGTGTACGGGCCGTAAAGGAGATAAAGGCTTTTGTGTAATCTTTCCCAAAACCTCTCAAATCCTTCTGGAACATAATTTTGCCTTTACTGTGTTTTCTACCCTTCACTGTTTTAACATGTCCAGACCAGATGAACTCATCTGGCCTGTAGCTTTCCTACCCATAGTACTACCCACCTATTTATGTGACAAATCTATAAAAAAAATCTTTGTTATGTTAAAACTATACATTTTGCACATTAAAATGCCAGTGTTTTAACAGGTTTTTAATTTTGCCCCTGCCCAGCAGTGGCCATGCACCCAGCTATGACAGTGACCCCACACCCCTGCCTCCACCCATGCTTGTCAGTGCCCAGTATCACATTCACACACATGGTGTCTTCAGAGGACTTCAGGTAAGTTAATGCACACACAAGCACATGCATGCGCAAAACGTACTCACAGGTGCAAATACATAAAGCCCTTTGTCTTCTTCTCTTTCTTTAAGGATGTCAGACGGGTGCCTGGTATTACTCATCCAGTGGTAAGGTCATCAGAGGCCAATGAGAAGCGTCCATTTGTATGTGCTTATCCAGGTTGCAGCAAGAGATACTTCAAACTGTCACACCTGCAGATGCACGGCCGCAAACACACAGGTGAGATCATATGATTTATACCCCTCCCCAAAGATCTCAAACTGCTTCCGTTTACAAATTACCATGCCAAATTCATACAGACTGTAAATGTAAAGTTTGAAAATGATAAAGTGTTTCTGTGACCAGGTTTGAATGTGTGTAAACCAAATATTGCAACACAAATGTGAACAACAAGAACTGTGATAGATTTGCCTAACTTTGGAATCTGGGTGGTGGTAACAATGATGGAAATGATGACGATGATGGTGATAAAGATGATGATGGGTGGTTTAATTTGTAGGAGAGAAGCCTTACCAGTGCGATTTCACAGACTGTGGCCGCAGATTCTCTCGCTCAGACCAGTTAAAGAGGCACCAGCGAAGACACACAGGTACACCTCTTACAAGCTATTGTATCTGTATGGACTGTAGCTACCATGAGGGTGCCGAGCTCATGACCTCAGTATTTATATTTGAGTGGGAGTTACATTCCACAATATAAAAAACATTTTTTATTAGGGTGACTTAAGTTAGATTTTAGGGTAAAATATAAAATTACAATATGACAAATGAAAATAATCTAAATATTGTAGTGATTTTTTTTGTGAATGTCTGACATAATGGTCAAATTTGTTAAATGACAGGATTTAAAATGTGGATTGTTGTTCATTAGACACTGCACACCAAAAATGTGCTGAACAGTAAAATCTCCTTAAGCAGTTTTAATTTGTAATGCTTTCAACCTTCGCAGTGATTGCGCCATCTAACTGAATGTTTAAACTTTTGACCCATACCCCACCCTCTTCTCACCCCTGCGTCTCCCACGGCAACAACCACTGGCTTCTCTGTGTAGGAGTAAAGCCTTTTCAATGCGAGACATGTCAGAGAAAGTTTTCACGGTCAGATCATCTTAAGACGCACACTCGGACTCATACAGGTAAAACAAGTGCGTATACCTTTATTATCTACTTCTCCATTCTTCTGCCAGTGAGATTTTTTTTGTTAAGATGGTCCCTCTCACATATAACAGAATGCAAGCCTTATTCCAATAATTGAATTTACTCTAAAGCAATCATTTCTCTAATTTTTTTTCTCCCTTGTTTGTCCCCTCCTCAGGTGAGAAGCCATTTACCTGCCGCTGGTCCAACTGTCAGAAGAAGTTTGCCCGCTCCGACGAACTGGTGCGCCACCACAGCATGCACCAGAGGAACCTGACCAAGCTGCAGCCTACCATCTGAGCAACGAGAGGAGGATGACGGAGAGGAAGGTGACAATATGTTGTGCCAGACAGTAGAGAAAACACTTGGAACCTGGTCAACAGTTATGGTGCCTTGCCAGACTTGCTGAAGTGGTGAGCACAGCTGATGCCTCCAAAAGCCGCACAGACGTCGTCAGGAGAACAGACTCACTGATGATCTACGAGATCCTCATGGTGCACGTCAACTAGCACTCGTTCATGTAATTTGACTTTAAAACTCAGATTTTGAGAGGGTACCACAGTTATTCTGAGCCAAGAAAATGTAATTTTTTTTAACGTAAGTTGAGGAAAATGTTGCCACACTATTTTGGATATTTTAGTACACTTGCACTGGCTTCTTGTTTTATTATTAAAATTGTCTTCACCTTGAAAATGTGCTGGACCATGTAAACTGGATTTAGGAAATGAATGTGTCACTTTTTGTCCATTAAGCTGAATGCAGAGAAATTTTGAATTGGAGAGTATGAACATCTTTATATTCTTACAGTACACATGACATTCACCTAATCGCTTTGTATATATTTGTATTTGCTTACCCCCATAGGCATCCCTTTTGTGTTTTCTATGTTTTCATAAAATGTTGATTCACCTCAGTGTCAAGGGTGTGCGTGTGTGAGAGAGAGAGGAGAGGTAATGTGTTGTCACCTATGAGTGGTGGTGCTGGGGGTTGAGAGGGGTGACAGACAGTAAAACAGGACCCCATGCAACTCTGACAGGGTGCAGGTCTCACCCTCCAACACACATCTTCATAACTAGGAACATCTGGAGCCCGGTAAATCTCATTGGAAAAGCCACATACCTCAGTGTCAGCCGGCTGTACTTCACTGGCTGCCCCCTTCTGCAGAGGCTGGCCCACATCACACACACACACACACACATGCACACACACACACACACACATGCACACACACACACACACACATGCACACACACACACACACACATGCACACACACACACACACACATGCACACACACACACACACACATGCACACACACACACACACACATGCACACACACACACACACACATGCACACACACACACACACACATGCACACACACACACACACACATGCACACACACACACACACACATGCACACACACACACACACACATGCACACACACACACACACACATGCACACACACACACACACACTCTAGTCCTTATTGCAAACAACAGCTTCTACTTTAGAACTTTACATCCTTGAACCACATGATGGCAGTATTAGTCTTTTCAGTCCAACAGATGGGACTCAAACTGCTAGCGCTTGAATGTGACTGCAGACATAATAGAACCGATATTTTTATACCCCAGTCTTTGTATAGTTCAAATACTATTTGTTCTTGCCCTTAGTGGCATTGATTATCCACAGTAAATAAGTTAATGTCAAGGAAAATGAAAAACAAAAAGGCATGCTCAGAATATGCCCAGAACCATCAACTACCCATGATGTGGATGGAACTGTGTGCGCTATAAGAGATGGATGATTCAGCTACACCAGGTATGTTAATAAAATATGATTCAGTGTGGGCACAGATAGCTGTTGCATGGCTATGGGCTTGTAATGTCATATATCTGGAAAAGCAATGTCAGCGTGCATACAAGCATGGTATATTTAGCTCCTGGCAAACTGTTCACACATGGATACCATGTTTATTAAAGGCATTCACTTTTACTCAGCAGACACATACACATTGTGTTGGAACACATCCACATCTGCACCACACTGTTTCATTTCCACTGTAGACCTCTTACCAAACTAACAGAAAGATTAAATTGCTGTTCTCCTGTTTCACAGACAGCTCTTCTGAAGTGATGATTCAAGTAGTTTTCCAATCCACATACTGTAATGGCTGTGAAGTTTCTGTTTTTTATGTTTCTTAATCCAATGCACTTTGATTAAGAAGTGCTTCTCTTTGTTCTCTCTCTGCAGGGGCTCCAGGAAGTGGAAGAAGATCAGAGGGACAGAGGAGTTGAACATTTTACTCACTCCACTTCACTGGAGGATGCCAAGGCTGTGCAGAGCACGAGGAGTCCATGCTTTAAACGTCCTTAATCATTACTGCCATCGTTATCACACACACTCAGAGGCAGTCTGACCTCAAGCCTACATTGATCTACCTGACCGATATGAAATGATTGTGCAATTTTTTGATTGGAGATAGCAGGATACAACAAAGTCTGTGCTCAGTTCCATTCTGCCAAACACTCCCACCAATCTAAAGTCACACATATACAGACTCACATGCACACACGCCACCAGATGCCCCCTCAGCTGTACTGCTGGCTGTTTGCCTTTAAGGGGTGTCAGCGTGGGTAATCTCAGGTGACATACACCTGGTAATGCACAACCCAAGACATCTGTAGGACAGCAGGCCTGCTAGCTTCCCAGCCTCCATATCCATATCAACCCCAAAGGTTTCTTTAAGAATGAAAGTGTGATAAAACTTCACTGTCACAATCAAAGCCAAAAAGCAAGCACAATTTCCTCCATATATGCAAGTTCCAACCTTTACATTCATCATTCTTTGGAGATACAGTATATTGGTCTAATAAAAAGTTATATTATTTTCCAGTATGTCATTCCGTAGAGTACCAGGTGCATAAAACATCAGCATACAGCTCCTGTTGTGATTCTTTGGGCATTATTTAACCTCTGGGAGCTGGAAAGGTCAAAGCACATGTAGGGCACAGAGGCCTCTTTGAGCCCTGAGGGACTGTTAACAACATCAAGGCCCCAGAGAAGAAACTTAACAGGGTTGCAAGGACACCTGCATGTAAAAACAATGCTTCGCCAACAGGAGGCGCTGTGGGGGACTGTTCACATGTTAAGTGAAGCATTTTCTTAGTTGTAGTCTTGCACCCCCCCTCCCCTCAGGCTCTTGTGCAGAGCTGCTGCTCCCCAGTCTGAAGGACCTAGGGGTTCTTGGGGGTATTCCCTGTGGTATAGCTGGAAGCCTACGGGGCTGCTGTGTGTAGGAGCTTTGGGAATGCAGAGGCCTTGGGGGCCTAGAGCTCAGATGGGGCCTTGAGGGTAAACTTTCTCACTCAGGGAGCAGAGATTGAGCAGAGATGGAAATACAGTAAGGGGAAACACCTTGAGAGGAGTCTGTCCGATATGTAGGCAGCAGCCGGAAAGATCCCATGAGGGTACACAAGCACAGAAACACAAACATGTATGTATACTCTAACTCATAACCAATATATGGGTCAGAAAATAGAGACAGTATTCCCCTCTCTCCTCAACCATTCCGTCTTTCATCTTCTCATTTTTTCTCCCTCCTGCTGTCTCCTCTGTTCTGCTGGAAAATATTAACTCCTAACAGGATTAGATGTGTCCCTATCATGTGAGATCACAAACCAATTCAAGCCCCCTGGGGAACAGTTGGATGGGAGGGATGAAACAAGGCTTTGTCTCCTCTTTCGTCCTCTCCATCCCAAAGGTATCCAGATGCCGGGACATGGGGAAAGAGGACCAGAGAAAGGAGGGAGACATGTTGACAAATGGAGTGAGAGAGAGAGGCACTTTGTCCAAAGATATCAGTCTCACCAGGACAGCACTTTCTCTACCCTCACTTTCATGAAGTTCAATACAACTCTACTGTGGGCCACTTTGCCCACCTTTTAATTAAAACTTTAAAAAGTTTCTCTCTGCATATATCATATATGATATACACAAGCCTGTCAGAATGAGTGGGCCACTAAAGCAGTGAAGCAGCCATGTAAAATCTGGTTGAAACTGATTTTAAGTCACCCTGACCTCAGTCCAGCAGGCTCCCATTACTCCACAGGCAGTTATAATTAGTTACCAACTCACTAGGTTTATGGTTCCTAAATTGAAATCTATTGCTCTTTAAAACCTTCTCTCTAATTGTGTAGTCATTAATGGTCGATTCCCTATCTACATTGCATTGATGGGCACATAAAAACCTATGATGATGGACGAGCACACGTGCAGCTGTTACAAGGTTTCCTCTCGTTCCATCTTGTCACCACTAGGAGGACTAGAGTCCTGTGGTGGGTGAGAAGAGGGATATGAAAGATTAAGAGATTCCTTCATGTTTCATTGTCCAGAAGCAAAAAAAATGCAAGATGCTGAATTACCTTTCATTCACATGACAAACAATCACACAACTTACACAAACACAGAAGAAATGATCTGGGCTGTAGTAGACAGACTGAGGTCAAAAGTCAAATTCAGCCAATGCAGCCTCTCAGAAGATTTTGACCACAAACCTGAAAGAGATTTTTCTACTCTAATTAGTCAATTAAGTGTTAATTATTTACTGTAAATATAAAGGTATAAATGCTTCTAATGAAAATCCTGAATACTTTAATTAATTGGCCCAAACAAGCACATATAAAGCCTTAAATTTCTGGAAAGAGTTTGTTCATTTTCTTATTTTGATGATATTGAAGATGGAATTTATTTCATGTTTTTATTGTTCAGTAAAGCAAATGTTTGGTTATAAGTCTGTGTGGGTTAAGCTGTGCATGAGACATTAAATTACATAAAAATTAACAGATATTTGTCTGTAAAATACCACCCATGTTTAGGTTTGAGTTTGGTAACTCCCAGTTCCCAGAAAATCTAAGGAGAACATTACCTCAGTGTCCTCAGTAGTAGGTACAGCCTTGTGCACCATTTGTGCACACGCTGACCTTAATTCCTTTTGTTTGCAAGTACTGCTATGTGTAGTTGTGTAGTCAAAGTAGTAGTATTCTACTAATTATGATGGTACTGTAATAGCAATAATAGTGTTAACGGGTTATGTACCTTAAAGAAACAGTCTTTCTTTTTTGGTCAGAGGTGTATGTGGCTCATGCAGTTTTAGCAATGAAACTAAAATTTGATTCAGAGAAAAGAGAAAGAAAGGAAAAGCCTGTCCTTTGAGATGTCATGTTAAGGCATAGTTCTAAGCTCAGTAAATATAAAATACTTTGTCTAAACAGCTCAATAATGAACAGAGGTTGTACTTTTATTTATTTATTTAAGCTAGTATGCATGTCGTCATACCTGTTAGGAAAGCTTCAGCACAGGGCGGGTCAGATGTCCAAAAGATTATTACGAACAGCACCCTGGGCTACAAATCCCTGGGATGGAAGGAACAAATACAAGAGATAAAAAACTAAGATGAGGGAACACAGATGAAAAATAGGGCATCCTAATGATAAGAGTCAGAGAGGAGTGGGGGAGCTCAGGGGGGACTGTGCAGTTTGTTATGCAGGCAGATTAACTGTACTAGTCATCTTGGGTTTGCTGCAGTTAATTGCTGGTATGGAAATGGCAGGGTACTATGAGAAAAGCTCTTTAAAGGGAGATTGTTTGTGGACAAGATGAAATGAAAATTATACCGGTTGGGGGGGCTCATGGTTGTAGACGTTAATATGCTACACTTTATGACCCTCCTCGCCCGTTGTCTCCCCCCGTTCTCACCCAGGGGGCTCATTATTGTCATTGGAGAGTGGTCCATCTGCGCAGACACTCATATGAGAACCGTCTGAAGGCATTACTGTATACACACACCCCCAGTTTGAATGATTAGGAACCTATCATGAACAGGAGATGCCGGCTGCTAAACATGACTGCGAGGCAGGCTCGACAGAGTCAGTGCGTCCCATCTTGCACAGACAAACACACATTTGGTTCTTTTACATCTCTGTGCACCACTAATTCTTATCCACCTTCTCTGTTGGCCCAGACACAGAGATGCAGCCTGACACATGACAAGCCTCATATGCTACTTAGAGGAAGTCCGTTGAGCTACTTAACTGCTTTAGGCCTCCCAATTATTCAGATGTATGATGTGAGACTAACCCCGCACTCTTTGGCAAGGCAATAGAGCAGTCATCAGGTTATCTAATGGACATTATTGAAACCAAAAATAACTAAAAAACCCAAATATCACTACAGGTAACGACTCCACTTTGAATGTTCCTCAAAGCTGGATCTTTTTGTCAGAGAAACAAAGGAGGAATTCATCTGAGGAGATTTGTATTCCTGGATCACACTATACAAGTGGGGCTGTGCCAGAATTTGGTAACCTATTTCTGCTAATCTTTGTGAAGTAACCATTGTTATTGTCATGTCAGACTCTTACACAGTTATTCAAACATGGAAAATGTCAAGGTAATTAAAATAACAGTAAAATTATCAAGCAAGAACAGAATATTTGAAATATAGCTTTCAAGACATTTTTGGCCTCTGCAGTCATGGTCTGAGTGTTTGAAGAAGGTCCTACATTACAACAAAATAACAGCCCACACATACATCGCCCTGTCCCTTGTTCCTAATGAGCTTTATCACATTGGTCCCGCTTGACTTGTCTTGCTAACGGGCACACATATATCCATATGTTCCACATGAGCAAGCAGAGGAGACAGGCTGGGTGGCAGAGCTGCTTTCTCAGTTACACCGGAGAGTTTTAGTGTTGCAGCCAGCAACAGCAAGTTGGCTTGACTCCATCTCTGCTACGTGTAGAATGCAATTAGTCATGAGAAACGTTAACTGCACTCGTTTGTTGACTCAAAAAGTTGAATACAGGCTCGAGCACTTGAATGACCTATACCTGATATACAAATAATTCAGACAAAGACAAAAGACTGACAAAACTACCAACACACTGAACAAAATGGCTGCATGGTGCACTAAAAACCACCTTTGCCAGTGAGCAGAAGCAGAAAAAGTGTGAGAATTACCAACAAGAGCTTAAGAAGGAAATAGTGATAAACTAGCTAAGTGCAGGAGCCTGAAGAAAAGGGCATTTAAAAGTATTATGTGTCATAGGCCAGAGTCTAATTACTGCACACAAGTGTTCATTTGTACTCATGTTCTGTAAGAGCAGGGAGACAAGGAAGGTAGGATGCTGCTTCATGTAGACATTAGGCCAGTATTTTAACTATTAAACAGAATTTTCTACATTTGGTTATCAGTCAAAACCGAGAATTCTGGAGCTAGGTCTGGAAAATGGTTTTGCTTATTGGCTCTGAAGATTTGTGACGACATGGCCTGACAGCCCCATCTTCGGGGCCAATAAACATCATTTAACTCATATACTGAGCTGCCATATGAATGCTCTTCCATTCTTTGGCACATTTAATCATATGCTATTGACTGTCTGAAATTATAATGTAACGCAAAGTTGCATTTAAGGCTATGCTATTTCTTTAACTGTCGTTATAAGAATGCATTAGTAAGAAGGATTAACAAGAGGGGAATAATTCTTTTGATTAAAAAGTTCAGGCAGTCATATACTGGACCTTCTAAGTCAGTTTGTCTGTTTGTAACTCCTATTTCAGTGTTGATGCTTTCAAACTAAGCACTCTAAATACTTTTTTCTTTAAATTTTATTTTGACAATATCAGCTTGTGCAGTGAGGAAAAGGAGACATGTTGATATATTTGTGCACTGAGTCATGGGACAACAAATCACCACCAGATAAAACTTGAAACAGTGAAAAGAGGGTTTTGAGTGACATTAACAGGACTAAAATTACAAGACACTCAAATTCAGGTCAGAGTTTGTTCTTTTCACGAGTTGCATTGTTTCATGCACGTCATACAAGCTATCCAATAAACAGTACAGAGATGGGATTAAAAAAGATGAATTTCTGATGTTCATAAACACCTTATATACAAAGTCAAATACTGTGGAAAAAGAAACTGGGTACATTTGAAACAGAAGATGACCCTGAAGTGATGTAACAGGATACAAGAAGTCATGGATTGGAAGAGGGGAAAAAAGGAGCCCCCCCCCCCCTTTCTTCTTATGTATTCAAGCCAATGTACAATATATACTCAAACACTCTGACCTATGTAAATTGGACAGCTCATTCACAGGCTACAGTAAAACCAAAAATGTGCAAACATCATGCTGTTAAAGATAATCAAAATCACTGAAATATTTTGGCCAGAACAAACTGTAAACAGAAAAATCATATCTTCAGTTTTAACAAATCTATCTGAATACTGCACTCTTTCAGACCTAAAGTTCAGAGGTTATCTGATAAATAAATAAAAGCAGTATAAATCTTCTGAACTGTAGTTTCACATTGCTATCAAAAACTGTTCCTGTATCTGGCAATTCATGTAAAGCTCAGCATTCAGCTTTACATGAATTGCCCCTGGACAGATGGCTGAGGCAGCGAAGCCAGCCTCTGCGGCTGGAAGGCACCACTGTTAAAAGTTAAGTCCTTTGCTCCTGAATGTCAGAAACAGAACTGCTGATAAAAAACACATGGCTGGACCCATAGTAGTAGTGGTAGGACTGACCCTCATCCCTCCTCTTGCTTGGTTTCTACAGTGTTGATTTGAAATCCAACACACTGACATCTGTCCCACGACTATGAGGAAAGTTAGTGGCAGTGGGAGGAGGCTTTATAATAGTCTGTTATTCTGTCTTTGAAGGCAAAGACGTTCAACAACCCTCCTCACACACAAACATCCGAGGCTGTACTGAGAGCTCAGAGCTCGTCATGGTTCCTGGTGAGGTCCTCTCCGTAGTTGGTGGCCTGACTTCCAACGAACATGTTCCAATTCTCAAGGATCTCTTCTTTGGTCAGCATCTGATCCTGAAAGGAGGGGACAAGCAGATCACAAGAGAAGCCTTATACATTTTAGTCTAACATTATTTAAACACATCAAAAGTGTGAAAAAGCAGATAGATTTTGGCAATCTCAGGCCGTGCCTCCAAAAAACAGGACAAAGCTGGGACCAACTTAAGCAGGTGTTTCAATGTGGTTGAATTCTGAAAAGTGATCAGAAAATTACAGTGCAGCATAAAATGGTCAACGGTGTATAACGAAAGTTCAATTTGTCAGTATTATGGTTATATGAGTAAGGTCATAACCTCATATACAGTATACACCAGATGAACAGAACTTGAGTGTGCTGAAGCTCAAACATATCGTACCTTGTCCTGGTCAGACTCATAGACCAGGTGTCTGGCCTCCGCCTGGGCATGGTCGTAGTCTTGGGGCATAATCCAATAGCGGATCTCGTCTTGGTCCATCTTGCCATCTTTGTTCAAATCCCGGAAGTCAGAGAACTGTTCCCTTTCAGTCTTGACCCAGTCTGGCTCTGGACCCCCATCCTCATGAGCAAACATGTCCGCTGAATCAACAAAGAGCCATGATATTAATACAGGAGCGGAAACAAAATATACCTCTGTGATCCCTACTCAAACACAGAGAGCAGACATGGCTCATGTGCAAGCTTTCCAAAGCCACCAGCCAACACATCTCTGATTCGTTCACTGGACAAACACAGACTGATGGAGCACACTGGATTGACTGTTTAAAAATTGGTTTGCATCTTTCTGGCAGAGATTTCATAGTAACTAATAATGAAAGTTTCAGCAAAACCTCTAAAATAACTTGTCAGGTTCCCAAAGGTTCGATTTTAGAGCCACTACATTTTAACATGACTCATCAGTGGTGTCACCAGGGCACACAGCATCTTTCTCCAAAGCTATGCTGATCACACTTTATGTGGCCATGTCTCCTGATGACACTTACTCATTATGAGTGGAGCCATGGGTCCAAGCCAAAGAGTCTAGAGAACAAGCTAATGCCATACCTGCTGTTGTTATTTAAATATCTGTATCCTTATTAGATTATTTAAAATTAGCTTCCTTTAATTTATTGTTTGAACTCACCAATATACTCATCCTCATCCACATGTCCATCGCCGTTCTTGTCAATGTCCTCCAGGGTTTCCTGGATTCACAACAAATGAATGATGGCATTACAGGGAAACACAAGGGTCAACAATAGGAGAACTTTCACTTTGATTAATAAAAGAGAAACACATCGCCTTGGCAGGACGAGGGAACGTATGAGGGCCATCTTACAGCTGGGCTGGCAGACTGACACTAAAATTAAAGGATTCCCTGCGAAGAGCCAAACCCTCCAGGTTAAAAGATGATGTACATGTTTTTGTAAACAACTGTTGAAACACTGTCTTTAAATCCTGGTAGATGATTTTATCTCTCTTGAATCCTAGATTTGAAACAGTTACATTGCTGTGTGAACCAATCATTAGTTAACAGTCAGACATACAGTAATTCCACTGCATCTGGGCATAACACGTGTATGGAGCTACACAGATCCAAATCATCGTACAGATCCTTTTGTGCAGATGAAATGTCCTCTCTTAACTCTGCTGAATGATTAAAGGCCATGTAGTCTTCTGTAGTCTAATAGCTGACTAATAATAAAGAAGAATCGATCCATTTTCCAAACCAACCTTTCACAAAGAGAGAAAAGAAGAAGAGATGTTTACTGAAAATCTAAAACTTGTAGACCATTACAGAAATGTAATACATTTAAGTTCAGTCAGTACCAGTCTCGCTATAGTTTACTTTAATGACTAATACTATAAAATCGGGTTGGACGATGAATTAACTTTATTGGGCTGAGGTGTGAAATAATTTATCTAAATCCCATATCATTGAACCAGGAACAGGTGTTTACTTTTTTTAAAGGTAGGGGGAGCTTGACAAATGAAAGTAGATTTAGGGAATCAGCTCATAGTTCCTGAGGAGACAGTCAGCATTAACCTAAGATCAGACCTTGTGTTGTGGTCACAAACATAGCAGGTTGTGTATTTTGTTGAGCTTGCGGTTCCCTGGGAGCACACTATAGATATACAGTGGTGTGAAAAAGTGTTTGCCCCCTTACTGATTTCTTATCTTTTTGCATGTTTGTCACACTGTAATGTTTCAGATCGTCAAACAAATTTATATATTAGTCAAAGATAACACAAGTAAACACATCATGCAGTTTTTAAATGAAGGTTTTTATTATTAAGGGAAAACAAAATCCAAAACTACAAAGCCCTGTGTGAATAAGTGTTTGCCCCCTAAACCTAATAACTGGTTGGGCCACCCTTAGCAGCAACAACTGCAATCAAGCGTTTTCGATAACTTGCCATGAGTCTTTTACAGCGCTGTGGAGGAATTTTGGCCCACTCATCTTTGCAGAATTGTTGTAAGTCAGCCACATTGGAGGGTTTTCGGGCATGAACTGCCTTTTTAAGGTCATGCCACAGCATCTCAATTGGATTCAGGTCAGGACTTTGACTAGGCCACTCCAAAGTCTTCATTTTGTTTTTCTTCAGCCATTCAGAAGTGGACTTGCTGGTGTGCTTTGGATCATTGTCCTGCTGCAGAACCCAAGTTCGCTTCAGCTTGAGGTCACAAACGGATGGCCGGACATTCTCCTTCAGGATATTTTGGTACACAGCAGAATTCATGGTTCCATTTATCACAGCAAGTCTTCCAGGGCCTGAAGCAGCAAAACAGCCCCAGACCATCACACTACCACCACCATATTTTACTGTTGGTATGATGTTCTTTTTCTGAAATGCGGTGTTACTTTTACGCCACACATAATGGGACACACACCTTCCAAAAAGTTCAACTTTTGTCTCGTCTGTCCACAGAGTATTATCCCAAAAGTCTTGGGGATCATCAAGATGTTTTCTGGCAAAACTGAGACGAGCCTTTATGTTCTTTTTGCTCAGCAGTGGTTTTCGTCTTGGAACTCTGCCATGCAAACCATTTTTGCCCAGTCTCTTTCTTATGGTGGAGTCATGAACACTCACCTTAACTGAGGCAAGTGAGGCCTGCAGTTCTTTGGATGTTGTTGTGGGGTCTTTTGTGCCCTCTTGGATGAGTTGTCGCTGCGCTCTTGGGGTAATTTTGGTCGGCCGGCCACTCCTGGGAAGGTTCTCCACTGTTCCATGTTTTCGCCATTTGTGGATAATGGCTCTCACTGTGGTTCGCTGCAGTCCCAAAGCTTTAGAAATGGCTTTATAACCTTTTCCGGACTGATAGAGCTCCATTATTGTCTTTCTCATTTGTTTTTGAATTTCTTTGGATCTCGGCATGATGTCTAGCTTTTGAGGATCTTTTGGTCTACTTCACTTTGTCAGGCAGGTCCTATTTAAGTGATTTCTTGATTGCGAACAGGTGTGGCAGTAATCAGGCCTGGGTGTGGCTAGAGAAATTGAACTCAGGGGCGATAAACCAGTGTTCTGACAGGGGGGCCAACACTTGTTCACACAGGGCTATATAGTTTTGGATTTTGTTTTCCCTTAATAATAAAAACCTTCATTTAAAAACTGCATGATGTGTTTACTTGTGTTATCTTTGACTAATATATAAATTTGTTTGACGATCTGAAACATTACAGTGTGACAAACATGCAAAAAGATAAGAAATCAGTAAGGGGGCAAACACTTTTTCACACCACTGTAGTTTATGAGAGGAAAAAACTGAAATACACAAAATTAGCCATGAAGGCAGTGGAGTGTGGCTGGAAAGTTAAAGTCTGCCCAGTGGAGGTTGGTTATAGGGGATTAGTAGCCAAGTCAGTTCTCTGTCTGCTGGGTGAGTTAGGTATAAAAGGGCAGAGCTTGAGACAGGTAACTAGGAATCCAGTTGATAGTGCAGCAAGGTTTAGTAAGTGGCTCTGGAGCAGGAAGAAAGGTGTGTGAGAATGGGGTAAAGATAGGTAAATGCTTTTAATAAACTGTAACATATATGTGACTGTTTGCTAACAGTCTGAATTAGCCTGAGTAGATGAAGGGTTGTGTTGTTGTAGTTACTGACTCACTGGGGTTGTTAGCAGTTTATTCTTATTTTGTTTGACAATAGAACTGTGTCAGTGGTTGGACAACTGAGCGAACCCGGCTCTCAGAAGTGACTGCCATTGCAAGCCAGCTGGGCCAGCCACTGGTTAACCTGAGCAGATACAATGCAGATGCTGTGTCAAGCCACATACTGTATCTGCTCTTTGCTTGGGTTAGGACAGGGTTCAGTGTTGTTTTGTGTTATGGGTAGGTTAGGTCTAGAAACTGTGGGGCTCTAAAAATTTTTGACAGCATGGACTGATAATGGGGCCAAATAATGGGTGAACATCATTTAACTCGTATACTGAGCTTCCATATGAATGCTCTCCCATTCTCTGGCAAATTTAATTGGTTATGGACTGTTTTAGTTGTACCATCAAGCCTTAATATACAATTGCACTTCACTGGCAACAATGGAGCTTTCCTGCCCAGTCAGAAAGAAATCACACAAGTCTTAGAGGAAAGCAGAGGAAGCTCAATGCTGATAATTAAAAACAAATGAGAATTAGAATTGAATATCAAAATTTTAGATTAAGAAAGACACACAGTGTATTTCCACCAATCCAAATCAGCAGTTCACAACTCTGCACACAGGTAACTAAAGCCTTTCTGGGACAGTGTAAATGCAACCATATAACATAGTATGGGGTGTGCCACTCCAAACTCAAAGTACCCTGCGGATACTGAGGAGGTTATACAAGGAAAAAACTGACATTTGAACAGAGCACTCATTATGTGAATGAGTGTGTAGGTGTATAGCTGGCACTCAGTCAGATAGCTTCATGTTCCTGCCCTGCACTACCTGCACTATAAGCTCCATTAGTTATCTGTCTAACTAGCCCACAATCATGTCCTCTCAAAATCATCAAGTTTTTCCTTATATGACTACATATATCATCAGATATCACTGGTGCATGGTTGTACAAAGAGCCCGTGTTTTATAAAACCAGAGCTTAACCCTTTATTGTTGTGAAAAACTGGCCACTTATTAGCTTCAGCCAGATTCACCACAATCGGTGACGACACCGCCAGCTTCAGATGTTACCGCTCTTTGGTAACATCATAAAAATTAAACAATTAATAATTGGCTCTGTCAAAGGGGCAGTACAGCCTTCATGAACACAGCAGCATAGCGCATCACTGTTAGCATCTGCCATGCAGCTGTTCCACAAAGCCAAATAAAACTTTGACTTGGGAGAATTTGATTTGTTCTCAGAGCAAAATAAATGTGTGCGCTTAGTGTATCCTTACTACCCTACCCCTTTCTAATCATACTTGATTACCATGTAGTTTCAATAGCTTACCAGAACCACAATATCCTTCATATGCTCAAACTCCTCAGGATGGAGGAAGGCTGTAAACTCTTCTCTGTCTGCTGTCAGGTCCCTGTCCAGATCGGCTGCTTTAAACCTCCTCTCGTCTCGAGGAAGCATCTTCTTGAAGCTGAACTGGTCTGTGGCATCGTCAAACTCCTCTGGGTTGGCTACAAGGATGGAGCAATATCAGGTTATTTTCACACATATGAATAGCTGTTGCACTTTGTTACTGTGTGTAATTCAAATAAATTCATACCCAGGTAGTATCCATATGTGGCCTGCTTGTACTCATCCCATGAAATCTTGTTGTCTTTGTTGAGATCATAATCTGTCCATACCTTTGCCACGTTTTCATAAACATAACGCTTCTGTACACGTTTTATCCAGGCTTTGAGTTCAGCTGTGGTGATGTAGCCATCTGCATCACTGTCTATCCGGTCCACAATTTTACTGTGAGGCAAGGGAAGAAAGAGTGGAAACATTACTGATCGTAAAAGCTTGATATGGGTACAAATATGCACCATTGTCTTTTCATAGAGAACTGACAGGCCCAGAAGTCACATCTTTGTGCGGTTTCACCTCAGATCCACTGATGAGATGTCCAAAATACCAGCAGGCAGAAAAATCAAACTAAACAAATATTTGGCAGAACCATTTTCACCCCATGGGAGTGGCTTCTTGAGACTACTCTAGTAGGAGAAGCAGGCAAACCCCTTTTTAGTAAAAAATGCAGTGTGGCTGTGGTGTATTCTTAGGCATGGTCTGCCACGTTGTGATGTTACAGGGGTCCTCCCACTGTCAACGCCACAGGAAAGATGTCTTGTCAAATGTTACATGGTGCCAACTTGTCATCCAAGCAAAAATGATGACGCACACACACACAGAGCCGTGTAGCACTTAGGTTTATACACTAAAGTTTGTGATAGAAGCACTATGTGGAGACTTTACTGCCACACTATATCACTCCATCTTCACATCCTCTAAATGGGTCTTTGATGATGATAATATATGGTGGTGGCATAATAATGCACCTTTGTACCTGCAGAGCCGCGCATCTTTCTCCGACAGTTGCGCTTATGTTGTTAAATTTCTATGTATTTGACCTTAACAGTTACACGCAACAGCAGGAGTGCACACTGGCTCGGTGCAATAATAATAATGACAATAAAGGCTGTCAGTGACTTGTCTGATTATAAGACATCAACATGTGCTCATGTGTCATTAATGTTGGTCTTTCCTTACCCAAGCCTCTCCTTGCTCTCCTCGGGGGTGAGCTGATCAAATGTCTTGGCCTCCTCTTTGCCAAGAAAGGCCTCATGGTCGTACTGGAAGCTCTTATTGTCTTCGTGGGTCTGCCTGCTCAGTTCTGGGTCATGATAAACTCTCTCTTTTCTAAGCGTTGGACGTCCATCAGTCAGGGATGAAGCTGGGTTCTCTCAGGTACAGTACAGGTTCTTTAACAGGCCACTACAACGCACAATCAGCAAGCAGCCGCGTAGCCACGTTCACTACTTGTACCGATACGCAAACCGTTTTACCTCCAGCAGCGGTGTGAAACAGTGTAGGAGCATGCAACAACCAAACCTGCGAGGACCAACTGAGGCTGCACACAGATCCGCTAACGGATCCCACGGTTCTCACCAAAACGGTTTAGGCAATCCTGTCCCCGGTGCTAAGGGGAAGGGATGCAACCAAACAGGGGTTTCCTGCCGCTTTACGCACAGCCACTCACAGTGTCCGTTTCAGTTAGGGACCGTCCTCCTCCACTGATGGGATCCCTGCTATTGGTCCACAGGATGTCGTTAACAAGAGAGGAGCACAGACGCCACGTTGCAAGCTGACGCGCAAACTGGGTTCAGCGTGGTGTCAACGTGGGCCAGTCTGAATCCAGGAGAGCTGGAAGGGGAAACATGGGTTGTACGAAATTGTTCTAGCAATGCAACCTACAGAGCAGAGCCTATGGTTTCCACTCGTACCGGCACTCAATCGCTATGGCAGTGTGTTAATGTGTGGAACTTACACGTATGTGCGCGAACAGGTTGAAACCACCACGGCCTTTTGCAGTGCCACTCACAAATGTGCAACCCTGCGCTGTTCCTAGCTTGGTAACCAGATATATCTGTGTTAGGTAAGAACCCCCCCCCCCAACCTGAACATTGCACCATCAGAGAGAACACTGTGTAGTTAATGAACAAAAGCTGTTTGTTTAAAAATAACAGCTGCTAAATCTTGGGTTTGAGGCAGTCTGGTTATTTGGTTCCATATAAGTTGCTAACCTGCTGTATTTTTATTTTAGAGGCTGTAAAAAATGAGAGGATCCAAAAAGGTTGAGGGTTATGTATTTTTCTTTCTTTTTTTTTTTTGCTGAAGGGATGGTAGCATCATTTTCAGTGGAGCAGGGGAGGGCGTTTTAACATTTTCTCATCCCAGATTTTTTTTCCTTTTTCATTGGGGACATTTATTATTAAAAAAAATAAAATGTTTACCTGATAAAATGGGTCTTGTATGTGCCCAAGAGCCAAGATGGTGACTTTAGATTTTGGAATTGGAAACAAAACCTGAACTGAAATCATACTGTCACCAATACAGATGGGCTGGGATGTGACCCATCTGCTGTTGCCACTGTGATAATTTTCCAGAGCTGTATAGTCCCCTCTGTGAGTATTACAAACCACTGTGCTGTGTTTTGGCTACTAATAACCTTTAAACACACACATTTGTTTCTTCTGCTGGACTTCCTGGACCATATTTTGTCCCTTGCAGTTTTTTTTTCATGCAGGCCAAAATGTCTGTGTGAATACGGGGCTCATAGTACCTCACAAAAAGTATTTTATTATTTCATTATTAATATGAATTTTTCTGTAGTGAGATGTATAAATTTGGGGAAATGAGAAGGCTAGTTTCAGATTGTACACACTATTGGCCGATTTCCTGAGTTGCGGTATCAGGAGAAAGATAGTTATATCTGTGGATTCCTTGTTGGTCTTAAAGCAAAGCTGTAGTGGGGGGGCAGTATTTTTGCCACAGTAAATGAAACGTTTTCACCCAACGTCAAATAACACAAAAAATGAGAGCAAGTTGGTGCGAGTGTGTGAATGTGGTTGAGTGTTAAGTCCTTGCTTGTGACATGTTTTTAGAAAGACAGAATGAGTTTGTGATTATATGAAGAAGACTAGAAGAATCATACAGTATTAGTCACATGCATGTCAACAAGCTGTAATATGGAAGAGGAAACTGTGTACCCCGAAAACAACTTTCTGATACTGCCATGCCTAATCCTTTTTGTGGGCAGGAGAAACGTGTATTTTGCCATTCATCATTAGCATAATAAGCTAGCACATGGCACTTTGCTGTTTTGCATAAATAGTACACCCCAATGTATGATTATAAAGTGGCCCTGGGGCTATCTAGCCTCTTTATTCAATTAATGAATACTTAATGTATTTAAATGAGTCCTGCCTGGTCAATTTACATCAGTGTGCTGTGCAGACTTGAAGAAATACATTGTGTTTTTCCAGTGAGATCTCTGAGATGTACAGAAAATGTAAAAATCATTGTTAACATTATAAAATGTGAACTCTATGAAAACAAGACATACGTCTGTCAAACCTTGAACTGTTAACAATGATATAACTTTTTGAGACTCAGCCGTGGCACTAATCTCACCAGGATTTCTACCATTTTATTGTTTTAAGACCAGCAGTTGTGGCATTTGTGAGGTATAACTTAAATGCTGAAGGTTATTGAGAAGTTAGTGGCTGA